CCCCCCGCGCCGGCCGGGCCCCCCCCGCCCGCCGCCTTCCCCCGAGGCTTTCAAAGCTGCTGCGGCTTTGCTCCCGGTGCCTTTGGTCTGCTGGGGACCATCTACAGCAGACCAGGGACACCGGGAGCAAAGGAGGCGGAGGGACGCTGGGGTATAAGATGAAACCCTAACTTTTAATTAAAAAGATAGGGGGTCGTCTTATACGCCCAGTCGCCCTATACGCCGGAAAATACGGTATTTTTTTCTTGCTACTTTTTAAAAAGAATTAAAACTCCTTTGGATTAACACTTTTATCTTAATTACAAATTACATTAATATTTTTGGAGATGAGGGGATTATATTGATGATTACATACTGATTTCATTTTCATGATGTAATGATCAATTTGTTTCACAGCTGCATCTGCCATTATTAAAAGTGACTACAGATATAATTCATGTAATATGTTCTAAGCAATAAATAATGTCAGAGCTATTTTTGAAATATATAATTTTTAATAACCTGCCATTTTCTTGATAAAGGAAATAATTAGTTTTAAAATGAAATGGTTAATATTAGTGAAGAGAGATGTTTGCTTTGCACATGCAAGCCATAGCAATAGAATACTTGGCTACAAAATGCGAAAACATTGTCTACCTATGCTAACACTTAGATTACAATATAGAAAAGTTTTTTTACGTGTGGTTCTGTATTACCACAAGGACATTGTCATCAAAATTGCATAATGCATTATTAAAAGCAATGGACCACATCCTGAATCCTTCACTCTTGCCTTTCTCTACTGAAGCTAGTTAGTATACACAGAATTAGAGATGCCACAGACAGACTGAGAGATTTGGCCCTAACTATTTAGCTTCCAAAAAATCAAATGTTGATATATTTGTGATAGATTCTGACAACCTCAACAAAACTGAGTAGTTCCTTAGTCCTTGAATAACCTATAGATTTCAGTGAGACCACTTTTAGTGTAAGGAGATCAGAAAATGAGCCTCATATTTAAGAACTTACATCTATAATGCAGTTCAGACAGGTGGTCTCCAGTATTTGACCAGCGCTCCAGTAAGGTCAAAGAGGATGTTCAGGGGGTCTGCGCATGCAGATCAAATTGAAGGATGCAGTACTGCTTTTAAGATGGCCTTCTGAAGCATAGGCTATAAAACTCAGAAGTTCCTCATTTCCAGATTAAAGACACAAGGTTGGCTGTTTATTCTAACCTGAAAAATACCACTTATCAAAGCTATTTATCCGGAGTGAGAACTTCAGTGTTTTCTTTACAATGTGCTCGAAAAGGCAGGCCAACTAGAGTAATTGCACAGCAATAAATACATTCACTTCATCTCTGGTAAAAGTAAAATCCAAGTGTCTTGATTTTAACCCAGCATGATTATTATTTATAAGTAGTCATCCATTTTCCCCTTCTGTAGTGTTCTCTTTAACTCTGTTAGAGCCTTGCAAAACCTTCATTTTCTTTTGCTTCATTACAGTTTCCTATGAGGCCACCTTTCACAGCCAAAATCCTAGCAACCATAGTAGAATTGATGCAGCTACTTTCTGAGCCAGCTCCCATTCAGCAAAATCTGTGTCTGTGCTTTGTAGAATTGGGACCCTGGATAACAAGAAGCTGATTCTGGCTTAAGATAACTGCTACACCAAAGGTGGCCAAACTTATTGACCTTCTGAGCCTATTCTGAAATTGAAGAGTTGGGGTATGTCTGCTGGGGCTCATACTTTTAGCCCTGACCCCCAGCAGGTGTGCCCTGCTGGGCTGAAGCCTCGAGACCCTGTTCCTCACTACCAGGGTGACACATGGAGGGAGGTATGCAGGAGTCACCTCCCCCTTCCCAATTTTTGCCAGGCGTTATTGGCCCTACTTGATCCTATGGTGCTTCCGGGAATTCTCTCTACATGGCAGCTGCTAGAGCTGGCACACTGGAAATTATGGTGCTGGACAGAGGTGTCAGCAGACAGCTGGGAGCTGACTGCTTTTTCTGCTTTTTCTGCTGCCTCTCCTCATGGACTAAAGCAGCTGCTGCCTCTTCACTGTAGATAACACCTAGGGGTGACAGGGAAGGGCTGCTGAGGGTAGGGGGTGAGATGTGATTCAGGTTCACCAAACCTTTTAAATGGTGCCCACTGCTCTCAGTGGGCACCATTTATCTCTGCAACAGCATGACCCCATAGCTAACCATGTTTGCTAAACTATTACAGGCTATTCTGTTTTCAGAGTAGTTTAGGCTTAAATTATTTGCTAGAAGTATATTCAAATCAGAGTAGAGCAACTTCTAAAAACATAAAGATTAAGGACAAGACGAGAGAGAGAAAGAGAGAGAAAGAGGTAACTGATTGAATTTGTGGCTAGTGCAAACATCTTGCGCAACAATCCTTGACAGTGACTGCCAGTTAAAAAAAAAAAAAAGAAGCTCGGTTTTAATATTTTTTTTACAGTAAAGCCTGAATCTCCAATGAACCTGCGAATAGAAATGGCAGACAAAGGACAGTTAAAGATCTGCTGGTCCAATCCAGTACTAACACCATATCCACTTAAGTATGAAGTGAAGTTTTCTGAGAATGCTACTCAAAATGCCTGGCAAGTGAGTGTGCTTATTATTTATTTTTATTGAAGATTTACTCATTCTAATTGTGTATTTAAATAGAACCTGCCTGAAGCTCTCTATCTAGATATCATAGTGGCTGTGACTTACTCAGAACCTAGGGGAAGAATTCCTCTTGGGGGACAGCTACTAGAGCATATTTCGCAAAACCTGCTTGGGTCAACACAGACTTTAAATTCAGGACTGACAGCATTAAAATGATTTAGCCTCTGCTGAATGAGCAAAAGGGCTAAGTTACTTGGAAGCAGCAGCAGACTCATAAATCTCTTATATGGAACAGCCATTAGAGACAGAAATGCTCCCCCCCACCCCTGCCCTCACAGCTTCACCTACAGACCTCTGAACTCTGCCCACGGGTAAATCTGGGTCTCATTGAAGTTGATACAAAGCACCCATTGGCTTCAGTGGAGCTAGGGTTTCTAAGTGTGTGTGTCATATATAGTTCTATTATTGAATCATTTTTTCCACTGCCACAGTGTAGCTATCGCTGGGGTGAAAAGCAGCATCTATTTAACAAAAGATTGTAGCTGTTTTCTCCTGGTGTGTCTAACTTCCAACCTACTTGATTTAGATGTGATGAAAATTGAATGCTTTTGAGCAGTTCTAGTAGCCCTCAAAATAAACAGCTTCTTTCATTTGATTTCTCTTATTTTTCTGAAGTGGTGAAAAATAATAATGGCTTCTGATATAATTTAACAGGTGGATGAGATTGTAATAGAAACCTCCCTCATCATAGGCAGTATGCTGGTTGATTCTTCATATTTAGTTCAAGTACGGTGCATGAGTCTTCACGGTCCAGGATTCTGGAGTGATTGGAGTGCACCTTATAATTTAAATGCAGAAGGTATGTCCTCTACAATAATTTAAATAGCCATTATGTTAGAAATATGGTTTGCCCTCCCCCAATGAGAAAACAACAGAGGAGCTGAAAACCTACTCATGAAGAATTTTGAGTAGAAGGAGGGAGATGATCCAAGGTTGGGAAACTAGCCAGACCTTATTTTCCCAAGGGAGAGGGCAGCTCAGATAGAGCTAACCAAATTTCAGCTCTGCAGAGACAAGGAGGCATAGGATTCCAGGTACAAATGACAGAGCTTAGAATGTCAGAGAAGAAAGTCATCAAAGAGACAGTGGAGCCGAGTCTACCAGAGATAAATGAATGTGGAACAGACAGCCCAGGTCAAAGAGAAGAGAATGGAGTGGGCCCATTAATGTGCTTGACATAGGCGCACACACTGGTCAAACTGTTCTATATTAGGCGCCTCTAAAATAAGCATCCAAATATCTAACCTGACCTATCAGGTCAGTTACTTAGCTAACCTAAATCCTAATTTAGGCACCTGTGGGCACTCACATTTTGAAATGTTGGGTCATATGAATATATGCTTACACTGCATGTGTGCGTTTGTGTGTATACAAACGAATACAGGCATACCTTCAAAGAGATTATATGCATGTATAAAATATAAATATGTACAGTTTGTAGAAAACTCTGAGATGCAGTAGATAATCTCTCTCTATTAAATATTCTATTGTAGGATATTAATTGTGTTAAACACATTTTACTGGCTAAAAATCATGTTGTGATAAGCATGATGACAACCTTAGAGAGAGTAATTTTTTCACTGCAGGGAGCTCAAATTTGCCTAGTCTCCCAGTGGCTAATGTTAGCATTAACCAATGGAAGAACAGTAAAACCAGCAGGATAGTTAGTACAGCAAAGAGGCTGCTTTGCATTCATACAAGCACATTAACACTGGGAGTACAAAATGCTCAAAACAGGCAGTAGTATTTTTATACAACAGATTAGCATTATGTTTTGATCTGTATTTAAACAGAAAGACTATGCTGATGACCAAGAGACAGTATTTTGCACCACTGTTCACAAGACTGTATTTTGGGCGCATCTTGGTCCATTATGAGTGTAATTAGGAAAATTGTTCAGTTGATGTGTATCTTCGCATAGATCCAAATAGTCGAGTTGATGGATTTTTCAAAATTAACTTTAAAATATTAATCGTCTCACAACTATCATGTATTTTTGAGTGCATACACCTCTGTGCTGTGTAATTAATACACTATATTTTGTATGTGTTTTGCATGACAGGTGGTCTATAGATGGTCCTGTTCTGTATTGCAAACTCCTGCCACAGCACTGAAATTATTACTCTTTTTCTAAAGTTTGAGAGAATGCTTATTGACAGAGACTTTCCATGTTCAAAATAGTATACTGAAGTGTAATATCTAGTTCTTCATGCAGCTTGCAGCTTCCCAGCATTTCCTTTTCACTCATAAACAGAGTTGCCTTTTCACTTGTACAACAGTATGTTTGTGTATGCAATGTAGGTGCACACTTCTGAAAATACACTTACACTTACTCCACGTGTAAGATGATGCAGTATATTATATGACCTTGCATTTATTCCATTTCATCTATTCCATCATGAGTAAGGATGTTGAAGGTGAATGTCCGTGTAGATAAAAATGTTCAAATAAATATAAATAATGATACATATGAATCATGGGGTCCCTTCTGCTGTTGTCCCTGTACTCATGTAACACTCATTAAATTCCAAGAGTTGAATTTCTGTTTAGGAGCAAGATTTTTATAGAAGTTTGCATCATTAATTATCCTATCATTTTGTAAAGCTACCTTTTTTGTGTGAAGTTTCATATCTCTTAAAGATTCTTTTTCTGTTTCTTTCTTTCCCTGTAATAGATGTCATGTATTTTCCTGCCAAGATACTGACGAGTGTGGGTTCTAATGTTTCCTTCTATTGCATTTATAATGACAAAAACAAAATGATTTTGTCCAAGAAGATTGTTTGGTGGCTGAATTTAGCAGAGGAGATCCCAGAGAGTCAGTATACACTTGTGAATGCTCGTGTTAGCAAAGTTACTCTTTTCAACTTGAATGCAACAAAACCTAGAGGAAAATTCTCCTTCAATGCATTGTACTGTTGTAGTCAAAACAGAGAATGTCATCATCGATATGCTGAATTATATGTAGTAGGTAAGGGTTTGGATGTCTTTCCTTTTTTATATATACTTCAATGTACTTGACATTTTCAAGTCAGAACATTTCAGTTTGATTCCAAGAAGCTTTTTGCAGGCAACAGTGATTTATTGTTTTGTCTGCTTAACAATTTTACCTTTATTTGTATTAATATTTTCAATGTGTTTTAAATAGATGTCAATATCAATATCACATGTGAAACTGATGGGTACTTAACTAAAATGACTTGCAGATGGTCCACCAACACACATTCATTGCTTGTGGGGAGTTCCTTACAGTTAAAATACTACAGGTGTGTATAGTTTTTAATGTAGTTATATTTGTTTGGAAACTGTTACTTTGGAAATATGAATGCAGTAATAGATGTTCAATAAAAGTGAATATAAAATCTGCCAAGCCATTGTGTGTCAAACTTTCACCCAATCTCCTAGCTGGCTTCCGAAATGGAACCCACAGATTTCAGCTGGTCTCATGTATGTGCACAAATGAGGTCATAGATCCAAGCATCCTGTATGTGTTGTATTCACGCATTATTCAGCATGTACAAAAAAAATCATGGACACAGTTTTGAAGGCAAGCCTTGAAAATATGGATAAAACATATTTAAAACTAAAACAGGAAATATTATTAAATAACTATACTGTGAGAAATTTGGTTTTATTCCTCTGGCAGCAGGGCTGAATCCTGACAGAGCAAACTAGTATACCTTTTAAACCTTCAGTTTTCTTTCAGATTCTGTTCCATTTTTGCAGTACAAATCCCCATCTTGCTTTTCTACAATGGATTTTGATTTGTATGACTTCTCACAATGGGAAAATTTGCTTGAATCATAATTTGTATGATTGAGATTAGTTGTTCATCTGTATAAATTAAACCTGACTTCCCACACACACACACAGTGATTAAATATATGGTGGCAGAATTTGGCTGACTCCAAAAGAAAAAGAACTTGCTCAGAAGAAGATTGTTACTTTACACTTAACAGTGTTGGTGGGTGGAGCAGTTTTCAGTTTGCTACTAATATTCATGGTCTAACTTTCAGGTTAAGCAATGTGCAAGCTTAGGACCAAATTCTAGTCTACATTTGCCAGTGTGGAATCTTCATAGATGGTCTCTGATGTAACAAATTTGGTCTCTTGCTTAGGGAAAAGATCGATGCTGCTGTGATTGATCTTCTGGAGTTCTATTTAGCGGGTCTTTACTAGAGGGTGCCCCATCCACGGCCGATGCTTCTGTGAGGAGTAAGGGAAGCCGATGGGAACATTTGCTCCCGTTGGTCTCCTGACGTGGGGATGGCAGGGAAACTTGAATTAAGGTATGTCGACTCCAGCTACATAATTAACGTAGCTGGAGTTGCGTATCTTAATTTGACCTTCCCCTTTAGTATAGACCTGGCCTTAGAGAGGTTTGGTGAATAGAATTCAAATCCTTACTGTAGTGCAGGAGAAGAGGGGTTCTGTTCAGACCTAGTTTTCCTCTTGTTCCTGTGGTTTTCCCCTTATTTCCTAAATCAAAGCAATTCTGACCATCCTCAGTAGATAGAGCCTAAGTGGTAGGATGCTGCTTTTATAAAGATGGTCCATTTCATCACAGACAAAGGAAAAATACTCCGTATATCTTTAAATCCTTTTCTCTTCATCAGCTTCTCCAACCATTGGTACTTGTCTGTAGTCTTGATTACTTTTTCCTGTCATTCCCTGGTACCAAATAATTTCAGAGGACATCATATGATTCTGTCTCTTTCTTAGGTCCCCCGAGTTTTCCTTTTTGACCTTTGGAGAGTAGCAATGCTACAAGAGGACAAAAGTGTGGTATAGTTAGTTCATCATTCATACATTTGTGCCAGGAACATCCTATGAAAAGGTCTTTCTCACATCATCTAATAGTTTTAAACACAAAAGATTTTTATAAATGCACAGTATTTGAATAAATAGAATGGAAAAACAAAGCCTCCCTGAGCAGAAATCATTGGATTTATTCTCTACTGGGGTAAACTTGATTTGTGAGAATCCTTTTAGCAAAGAATTTTAAGTCCCAGTCCTGCAAACACTTATGCTCTGATTCAGGAAAGCTAAAATGCTTTCTTGAATAGGGGTGAATTTAAGTAAAGAGCTTTCCTGAATTGGGCCCAGCAGTGTGAAGTGAGAGTGGTTCCACTAAGCTCAACTGTATTTGTAGGATTGGATCATAAATACTAAGTGCTGGGCACTATAGGGAACCTGTTGATGGATAGAACAATAAACAGAATGTTTAGAATTTCATATGAAAATCTTTTCTGGCCCTATATTGTGACCAATTGACTTCTAGGCTAAATGTTACCTTGAATACCTGCTAGAGACACTTATGTTGTAAGAAGTAACTTTCATTGTTCTTTCCCCTTTACTTCCCTCATCTTTCCATGTTAGTCTCTCACATCTCTGGAGAGAGATGATATTTCCTAATATTTATAATCTCATTATAATATGATGAGGTATTGACACTAACATGGTGTAGAAAGTGCATGCCAGCTTTCTTCTTTGTTTCTGTATTGATTCTGTTGAGGTATTATTAAAAATATAAATCTAAATGAAAAAGAGAACATTTTTCATGAGAATAATTAAACTAGAAAATATATTTTAAAAAAATCTAACTAATGGCGTAATTTCCAGGATCTTTAAAAAACAGACAACTTTATTATTTTCACAATGTTTGGGCAGATGTTGAACACAAACACAAAAGCTGAGTGAAATTAACCATTCTGTTTTCACTACCCAAGCTGAACAAAATGCCAAATTTAAGCAGCCACCATAAATATTTAAGAATAAACCTTGAACTGGAAAACTTCCTTCTGTTTTAATTATCCAAAGTGGTGATATTAGAAATACTATGAAGATAACTTAATATATAGAAATGTCTCCATAGTGCCTCTCCAGATCCTTTGGGGGGGTATACAAGGCCATCCTCCAAATTGGAGTCTAAAGGTTAGATTTAAACATGTTATTTTTGCATCATTGTTGCTTTTTGCTAGAAACATAATGTGCCAGTTTCTGATTTCTTCACAATCACTGATGCAATTAAAATGTTGCAAACAAAATTCCATTGTACATTACATTGCAATATTTTTGCCTTTTCACTATTTTGATTGGGCTGTGATTCCACCTTCCTCTACAGATCAACACTGCCAACAAAAATAGCACAGACCATGCAATAAAAATCCAGAATGATGGGATAAATCTTTAGAGCAGAATGTAGTGATTTACTACATATTAGTTTCATTGACATTAACAGGAGAAATATAACTAAATGTACCTCCTTAGGGGCCAATTAAGTAGCCAGTTTTTCTCTGGTGGGTATCTCAAAAAGCCTGAGCTCCACAGGCCTGCATGCAAATTCTAATATCTTAGGGAAAATTTGAAAACATTCCTCTTTTCATTAGCCACAAAATGTCACCTTGATCATTTTGCAACATTCCCACATGCAGTTCAGAGTCTATGGTTTATCTGAACTTGTTTGCAATATATGCATGTTGGAAGCCTATTAAAATAAATCTTACCATCACTATACCAGGTAGATTTTTAAATGGGATTTCATTCTTATAGAGCTCCAACCATTTGTGTCTAGTTAGGCAGAATAACCCACCACATCTCAACCTGCACTTAGAGAGCTAGATCCTGAGCAGATACTAACAATCACACGCTTATTGAAGTCAGTAGAATTAAATTAATTTTCACCAGCTGAGGATCTGAAACAGGAACATTACCTCTAACACATAGTCCTCATATTTTTTTGTCCTTAGTGTTTCTGCCCACTTCCTAGCTTTTTTCTTATGGCTTGTTTAACTTTTAAGCTAATCTGCATTAAGGCCACATTAAATCTGACTGAGAATGTCTATATGTGAGTTTAATGAGGTTTAACAAGTCTACTTTAAATTCACATCTGTAGTTAATCTGGATTAATTTTATGTGTGTCCTCATGTAGACAAACCCTTAGTTGGTTGTTCCTGTAGCACTGTGTTCCCAAGAGGTCTTCCAGTGGAAAAAACTGGTGGTCTGGTTCCCACATTCCTACAGCCCCTTTGCTTCATTCCCCACTCTTTTTATGTATTTGTAGGTTGGGGGAAAGGGCTCCAAGTACAGTAATTCCTCATTTAACACGTGCCCACTTAACACGTTTTTGCGATAACACGATTTTTTTTAGGGAACGTTTTTTTGAATCACACGGCCGTCCCCGGAATAACATGATTTCCCTAGCCAGCCCATTGCCAGCGGCTGTGCAGGGCTTCCCCCGCCTCCCTGCAAAGCGGCGGAGGGTTCGCCGCTCGCTGCGCCGTTTCCCGGAGACCCCCCCTTGCCGGACGCAATGCGGGTCCCAGCGGACCCATCACAGGGGCATACTCCCAACCCAATCCCCCTCCTCTCTCCTCCCCTCCCTGCTGTAACCCAGTCCCCTTTCTCCTCCAACCTTATGTCCTAGTCCTAACAGACACCACCGCTTGAAACACAATCCCCACCTTTTCCATTATTTTCAGTGGGAAAATTGACCCTGCATAACACGTTTTCACTTAACACAATCATTTTCTGAAACATATCTATAGTGTTAAATGAGGAATTACTGTAGACTCAAAAATGTTTTTAACTAAAAATAAAATCTTTCCATCCTCTCTCAGCTTCATTAGCCTATCTCCAGCTCAGCCTGCAGCAGCTTTGCTGTGCTCAATAACGCTTTCCATAGGCCTGTATGTCTCTTTCTGCAGGGCCAAGAGGAAAACCTGAGAGGGAAGTGGAGTTACCCTGGTGGATTGGTGTTATATGATCAGTGTGGCAGGAGGGAGCAGAAGGGAAAGGAAGAGAAAAGAGATGAGAAGCACAGAAGAGGAGGGAAAGGAAGGAATAAGACAAAAGATCTTAAAAGGAGTGAATGAGAGAAATACCGAAATGGAAGTGAAAGAGATGGGAAAGTTAGGGGTCTAGAAGAAGGGGGAACGGATGGAAAAGGACATAACTAAGAAAGAGGGAACGAGTAATAGCACAAGGGGTGTGAAGAAAGGAACCAATGAAGGGAAAATTCTGTCAGACATTTCTGTTAGCATTCTACATTTTGTGGGTCTGTAAGCCACTGTGCAGCATCTGAAGGTTTAATAGTGTGGTCTAATGCGCCTTATACATTTATTTATTTAAAATATTTTTACCTGCCTCTCTCTCTAAAATATTCAAGGCAGCTTAAAAAATTTTTTAAAACACAATAAATAAATGGCCATGAAGAGCCATAATTTGATTCTCTGTATTGTCCCACTGGTCATTCCATTCCAGAACAGAGCCCATGAACATACTCAGAACTAAATGCACAAATCTTATTTTGACTCAACTTTATTATAGTAATTTCATCACTTCTCTCCCTCCCTGCAACACACGCGCGCACACACACACACACACACACACACACACACACTTGTACCCCTAGAAACTCTCTCCACTATTTCGCCTGGATGCTGGGGAGGAAGAAAGAGATGGCTCGTGGTGCTTTAGTTTTTAAATGCATGAGAGGTGATCAGATTTTACAGAAATGGGGGAAGGAGTTTAAACATATGTGAAGTTTTAAAAAAAAGTTTTAAAAAATGTATACTGCACTGCCAAAATTCGGTGCTCTGAAGCTCACAAGGTAATTCATTGTCTATGGATCCTTTCAGCACCTGATCCAAATCCCATAGGGTATGTCTACACTACCCTCCTAATTCGAACTAGGAGGGTAATGTAGGCATACCGCACTTGCAAATGAAGCCCGGGATTTGAATCTCCCGCACTTCATTTGCATAAGCCGGGCGCCGCCATTTTTAAATCCCGGCTAGTTCGAACCCCGTGCCACGCGGCTAGACGCGGCACGGAGTAGCTAGTTCGGATTAGGCTTCTAATCCAAACTAGCTGTACTCCTCATGGAAGACATACCCATAGACTTTAATAGAAGGACTCCTGTTGATTTTAATGAGCCTTGGATCAGGCCCAAATTCTACCTCTCTGCCAACTCTACCCAAAAAGTCACCAGTTAATTAGTGGCAAGTGTGTAGGTGATCAAGCACTGTTCTATATAGGCCACAACAACAGCCATCTGGTAACTGCTTCGCATCAGGTATGGGTTGGGTTTGAAGTGGTAAAGTTGAAGAATCTTTGGTATCTTATCATCATATTCCGTTGAGCCATGCAATGCAATTTTAATGAAAACAAGCAAACCTTTAAACACTGTGTTAAGAATGATTATAATATTTCTAATTTTATAAGCATGGCACCCAGAGAATAAAATATTGTCCCTGTGCTTAATTGAAAGTATCATTCCTTTTTATGTTTGAGTTACTTTGAAAAGGTGACCCTCTAAGGTAATTTTGGGGAGGATAGGGGAAGTTTTCAGTTTATAAAGAACTGTTATAATTTTGGCTTTAAACATGGCATGTGAAATTCAAGATTTCCAATCAATATTATTTCTAAGCCTCTAGATGACAGTATTTTCTTTATTTTTCTTCTGAGTTATATTCATAACATAAACAGCTCTTTGTTGAAAATTAATTGAATGTTTTCATCTCTTTTAAGGAGTAATATCTATTGTTCTGACTTTCCAAGTATTCCTCCAAAGTCAGAGGCAAAAGAATGCCATTTACAGAGGAATCATTATTATGAGTGTACATTTCAGCCTATTTTTCTTTTATCTGGATATACCATGTGGATAGAAGTAAAGCATCAACTAGGAACACTTGAATCCCCACCAACCTGTGTCATTCCAGCAGATGTGGGTATGTCAAAATATTTCCTTAATATCTTATTCTTCCAATAGTAGTCTTGGGCAGCAATGTCTATATGGTTTAGTTCAGGGGTGGGCAATAATTTTTTGCTGGGGGCCACTTCAGAAATTTTTGAAGTGGTTCCGGGCCGCACCAGAAGGGGTGGGGCCAGAATACTTCCCTGCTTCCCCACCCACAGACCATGATTGGTCTGGGAGTGGGGGAGTATATGAAGTCTGCCTCCTCCCCAGAGGTTCCTCCTAGGCGCCCATGCCTCTGAGGTGGGAGGAAACTTTGTGTGCTCCCCTTTCTGCCCCCAGGCCAATCAGGGTTTGGGGGCAGGGGAGCACACGAAGTCTCCTCCTGCCCTGCTAGGAGCATGTGAGGTTTCTAAGCACGGCGTGCTCCTTGCAGGGCAGAGACAACTTTGTGCGCTCCCCCTACCCACAGGCCCTAATTGGCCAGGGGGTGGGGGAGCGGCAGGGCCTTCACGGGCCAGATCAACCTGCATGGTGGGCTGGATCTGGCCTTTTTCCCCCCTCTGGTTTAGGTGAAGGTGTTCGACACCACCTTTTGGACAAATCAGATGCTGGAAGGAGCAGCAAGGTCCTGATTGTAATACCATTGAAGTCAATGGGATCCTTCCACTGAAGTCAATGAGACCTTTCCATTGACTTCAGTGAGCTTTAGATTAGGTCTTTATTTCACACAGTGTGTTTTGAGCTGAAAGAATCAGTTTAACAGCGTGTATCAATTGGTGGCCATTGCAGAGTAATTTACAAGAAAGGTTGGATTTTTTAAAAAGTTGTTTTTGTTTTTGTGGGATTTTTAAAACTTATGGCACACAAAAAAAGTGCATTTTCAATTACTAAGGAGCTACAGGATTGAAAACGTTGAGGGTCAGGAACTGTCTCTTAGTACTTTTGTAGAATGTCAAGTAGAGTGGGACCAAAATTGTGACTGGGTTCTCTAGGCACAACACCAAAAAATAATAATAATGCTAACTTAAAAGAGACCTAATCACATAGGGTACGTCTAGACTACAGGCTTTTGTCGACAGAAGTTTTGTCGACAGATACTGTCGACAAAGTTTCTGTCGACAAAGAGCATCTAGACTACATTCAGTTCTGTCGACAAAGCAAGCTGGTTTGTTGACAAAACCCTGTAGTCTAGACACAACCCTAGATGCAATAACACCTTCTGTCGACAGAACTCTGTCAACAGAAGGCGTTATGCCTTGTAAAATGAGGTTTACCAGCGTCGACAAAACTGATGAGTTCTGTCGACGTTATGTCGACAGAACTCAGCGGTAGTGTAGACGCAGGTTTAGTTTTGTCGACAAAAGTCCACTTTTGTCGACAAAACCCTGTAGTCTAGATACACCCATAGTTTCACTCACTTGCTGCTGATGTTTACTGTGCAATGTTTTTTCCTGATCTATATTTCTAAACAGACCCCAGCTATTTCAGGATTAAACTAGGGAGACAGAAACCCATTCTGAGTAATCACGAATCCACTTAGAAACTGTGTGGCTAACTAATGTTGGAATAACTTCAGGGACCATGGATCAGTTTGACTTTAACTTAACTGTTATAGGGTTCACATTTGCTTAGAAGAGGCTTTATAAAAGAAACAGAGAAGGAAAAGAGGAGAGAAATTACTGAAAAAAACCATAAGTACTAAATAAAGGTCTCCTTCACCTCAGTAGCTTTTGGGAGAGAGTATATAGCACAGAGTTCTATTCACTAGAATAACTTATTTTAATTGTGAATTTCCCTTACAAAACACTTGGTTTTAAATTTAAGGAAAAAAGTTTCAGTGCAAGAACTAGTTTTGCTAAACGAGGATCTGATCTATCTTCCACTGACGTCACTGGGAGTAGTATTTCACCCCTACATAGTACCTCAAAACTTCCCTTGTTCCTGTTGTGTGCTACCTGCCCCTGAATCTACTGACCTATCCCTAAGCACCCATTGACATAATGGATCCTCCCACCCCCGTTTTAATGTCTATGCTGTGCGCCTGCATATTTTCAGATCTTCTGTTAATTTTTTGCTATGAAGGTTAAGAATACAGATGTTAAGTCTTCTGCATAAGTTATACTGAATCTTCTATTGCTAGCTAAAATTTAAATTCAGGGAACAATGACCAAAGGAATTGCTGAAGGAAAATAACCCAAAACATTAGGATCCTCTTATATCTTATATATAGGTATTGAAATGCAGAATTTCATTTTTCGTTTTGCTTTTTGTACTTCGTCTTCCTAAGCACTAGAAAGAGCAATGAGTCAATAAATGATAGTACAGTAAAACCTGTTCTGTCTGGAACTTAAGTATCCAGAAAACTGTGGAAACCAGCAAATTTTTGACACCAGGAAAAGAAGAAGAAAAAAGGAAACTGGCTCTTTAAGTGCTCCTCAGACGAGCATGAAGCACATACCTGAGGAGGGGCGAACTGACGCAAGCTTCTCGGCTCCCCCCGCAGCTCCCGCGACCCCTTCCTGGCAGGTCGCCCTGCCATCTCTGCCTCCTGTCCCCCGGGCTTTCACCCACACACACACCAGGCCACATCCTGCAGCTCGTGGCCCCCTCAGCAGGCCACATCTCTGCATGGCTCCTGTGGGCCCCCTCCCGTAGGCCCCACACTGCTCCTCCCCCACCACACACACACACACTCACTCAGATAACCTAAAAATTTTGGTTATCAGTACGCTCTAATCCTCATGCATGCTGGATAACACAGGTTTTACTGTACGATGACAGTGTGGACTTAACAATGTGGCCATTCAAACATATTTAAGTAAGTACAGTTCAAAGAGATGGTCTTTTCTAGGTAAAAAACTCAATTCAGTCTTTCCACCTGTTTTGATCAACATGTTTGCTGATTCTGATGAAGTTAGTGACAGTGACACATTATAATTGTAGCCTTCAGTGTTACTTCTTAGACACACATGTTACCGGTATTGGTGCACATAGTAGAGTATATGGGGCTGTGTTCATTCTGTACAGCCTATACAGTGTGCCAAAATAATCTTGTTTTCACTAATGCAACAGTTGCAACTTAGTAAAGTAATTTAAGTTCTTCATAGGTTCTAACAGATCAAATATCCACTGGCTTCCAGTTAGAGGAGAGTCCTCCTAAGATACATATAGTAAATACATTAAGGAGTGCTGGCAAATGACAGCTTTCAGACATACTTGGCTTGAAGAGTTCATAAAAGTCTCAGCTACACACTCCTCTCTCTAAACACAGCGGCGACAAGATAAAACTGTTGAAGTACAGTGCATGATGCAAGCTCTGCACCTTACCACCAACAAAGTGATCATTCCAGTTCTCCTTACCTTGCTGTTTTCTTCAACTTCTTTTCTTGCTTTTTAACAGGGTTGCCCAAAGAACTTTGAACCAGACATTCCCTTGCTGCAACTGAAATTTTCCACATGAAAAGAGTAATTTTGGCAAGATTTTCCATCTAGAAAATCAAAACATTTAATTTCAGTTTGACCCCTTATTAGTTTCTGCTCTTGCCTGAGCCTTTGCAGTGCAAAGTAATTCTGAATTACTTGTGCCTCCATATTCTCCTTTGGCCACTGATGCCTCTCCCTACTTCATCTTCCAAGATGTACCACTGCAAACTCCTCGTAATAGAGTCTCCAGGAGGCAGCATGGCAGCTGAAGTGGATGCAGATATCAGGGTTGACTTGACCCAGCCTGAAGCAATGATAAACCAAAGTGAAATGTTTTTGACATTTCTGAATTGACATTTTTCTGATTTTTTTTTCATTCTGTGAAAAATTCTAATATTTCAACTTTTTGTCCTGATTTGGGGCAACATCTCACGGGACAGAAATTCAGTTTGTCAGTCAGCTCTACTTTTTAGCTACATTGGTGGCAAATGAGTAAGCAAACATGTAGTGGGATGCTAGACATTACAGTGAGAAGATTTTGAGATACTCCAGAGAAGATCTGGAACAACCACTGATATTTGCAGGGGAGAACTTGCATTACTGTAACTAATATTACAGTATGGTCCTATGCAAAAGGGGAAGAACAGGAACATTAAGTACCATTGGTTACAATTAGAAATTTCGCAGTATACATTTCAGTTGTTTTTTCTCTTCAATTTTATAGTGAAGCCATTTCCTCCCTCTAATGTTGAGGCAGAAATCACTGAGAATACTGGACTGCTGAATGTGAGCTGGACAAATCCAGCACTTCCAAACAGCGACCTCAAGGTTCAGATTCGGTACTCTGTGAACAGGGAAGAAATATTATGGGAGGTACTGTTCATACAAAATAACATTTACATCTTAACAGTGTTTATACATGTAAAGTCCAGGTCAATCAGTCAATCTGTGTTGAATTCATTCTGTGTCAAGGGTGGGCAAATACCATCCTGCAGACTGGATCTGGTCTGCCATGGTTAGTCACTGGTGGGCCCCCACACCACTGTATTCACCTGTGCCTCTACAGGTACTGGGGATCACCACTCCTATTGGCTACAGATGACTGTTCCCAGCTAGTGGGAGTTGCAATCGCCTGTACCCGCGGAGGTGCTGGTAAATATAGCGGCAGTGGCCCACCAGGGTCTAACTCTGGTGAACTGCCCCCATTTTATTGCCCAGCCCTGTTGTATGTGAAAATTGTTTTAGTTTGCATTAGAATTTATTTTCTGTAGCAAAATTATATTAGTGAGCTCTCTCTTTTCATTGGATTGAGTGGCAGGAGGTTTAAATTTACCAGCTTAGGAGTTAAGACTTCAGTCCAGTGCCCAGAAAACTGTGTGGTGTTCCTAATCTAAATATTTTAAAATTCTTTTTGCAGATCTCTGAGGTTTCAAATGCACCAACAAGATCAGCCATACTAAAGGTGCCAGACCTTTGTGTTGTATATGTTGTTCAGGTGCGCTGCAGTGGACTAGATGGATTAGGTTACTGGAGTGATTGGAGTAAACCAGCATATACTGTTGTAAAGGATATCAAAGGTGCATGTACTTTATAAATGCACTCTGAGGATTATAGTTTTATGCGTGTGTGAAATTGTTCATTTTAAAATGGTTGTAATTTTGCAGCTCCTCTGAGAGGCCCTGAATTTTGGAGAGTTATTAATGAAGATCCCATAAGGAAGCAGAAAAATGTTACTTTATTTTGGAAGGTATGAAGAATTATATTTCAGCTTCTATCGCACTCTCTCGGTTTCTCACTCATAATATGGATGATGCCACAATTGGATGGCTTTGTGGGATGCATGATTCAGAAGTGTTGGTGTAGAGAGTTGCATAAAGCAAGCACATACTGTTTTGAATGACACACTCACACATTTATTATTCATGGTCCCTTTATAGACAGTACAATTAGGATACAGTTTAATTAATTTTACCTCCTCTCACTCAGCAAAGCTGTCAGCAGAGGAGCCTAAAATATTGGTGACAGTACTGCAGTATAATGGGAATATAGTGCTTATTTCTTTTCCTACCATCTCCTTTTCTCTATCCTTCCTTCTCTCTGCAGTTCTCTCCCTGTGTTTCTTATACACTGAAATCTTTCTTGCCACTAGCTGGCAGAGATCAAGCTGGTTTCTTTCCTACTCACCAACAAGAGATAGTATTCTGTTAACAGGAAAGAATCCTTCCTTCTTCTGTGTGGTTGTTCTGGATTGTTATGAGGTCACAGTGAGTCTTCACTCACTCACTAGTTTTCATTCAGCAACAGGGCAGGATTCCAAACCAGCAGTTCAACAGAACACTAGCCAATGTCCCAGCAAACTGTTCAGGTTGTCACCTCAGAAGTCCGACTTAGGGTGCAGTCAGGGCCTATTCACCCAAGCTCAGTTGCACGGGGCAATCAGTAGCACAGGCATTATACTGTTCATATTTGTTCATAATTCACACAGCACATATACACATACTCCCTACCTCTCAAAGCAAGCAAGTTTTTGTGCTCTGCTAAAGAACCACTGCATAGCGAATTCAACCTACCAGCCTCTCAGCACCACCCTGGATAGGAAGGACAGTATTTTGTCCAGAGTATAAAGCACTCTCCCTCCTTCCTGTCAGGACACATTTTGCCACTGGGCTGCACTGATTTAGCAGCAGTTTGGAAGAAAAGAATTCCCAATATATTATGTATAAATCAAATCATTATAGTTTATGACTTGACCAGGTAATCTTATAAATATTTTCGAAAGTTTGTTTTGTTTGTTTGTCCCAAAAGATCTCCGAAATAGTAAGAGCTAGAAGCACAACATTTTTGAACGGCTACTACGGATTTCCTAACTTAAATAACTGGATTGGTTTATATCTCGAAATCAGTTCCCCCAGAGCCTCAATTGGTCCCACTGATAATTAGCTTTTAGTAGCACCTGATCATAGGCATTTGCTGGACTCTTCTGTTAAGCGGGTCACATAAACTGCAACTATGAGATCTTTTCCCTATGATAAAAGAAAAAGGTTTTTCAAATAAATTTTATGTTAAAGTAATTTACGTAGTTCATTCACCACACCTTTTTGTTATCAAGAAATGAGTTAAATGTAAATGTGTTTTGTAAGCACATCACTAGCTATGTTAATTTCTTAAAGTAATATATAAAAGTATTTCCAATAAAATATGTAATATGTTAATGTAATTGACGTAGATCATTCATCCCACCTTTTACAATATTTTCCCCAGCTGACGCCAGGTATTTCTGCTAGTACACTATAAAATATAATTACAAAGATGTGCCATTCATGTATTAGTGGTTTTTTTTAATATTGTTCTTGAGTGTGATGCTCGCATGTGCCAAACCCACATATAACAAAGACTTCAGCTGACTGCGTGTAGTGGTCAGAAAGGGATCCCTCCCAGTCCTTCTTCCCCCACATGGTTTATGGTGTGCTGTTTTTGTATTCTTCCTCTGGAGCATGTAGACGGCCACAGCTGGAGATGGGCCAGGGTAGACCAGTGCTCTGAGATGACACTGAGAATGCTCTCTTTCAAGGGCTTGGCTGTCTGAGTCTTGTTAAGAGCCTAACTAATTAGCATATGCGGAATTTCCCCCAGGTCACATAAACCTTGGGAATTTTCACCCTTCTCTGCAGTTTGTGGGATTATCTGTGTTTACCTCACTTAATTGTTTCCTTGCCATTGCAGGACCCTCCGGCATTGGTACACCTCAGTCCCTTCTATTCTTTGCCTGTAGCGCATAATTCAGGTTATTTTGGGCTCATTTCATTTGTGAGGTGCAAAATGTAGATGCTGAGGGTGTTGGCTTGTGATATTCAGGAGGTCAGACTGGGTGATTTTGTGGGCCCTTCAGGCCTTAGACTGAATGACCTGAGTCTTTAAAAACAATGGATGCAAGTTATTTTGAAAAACATTAGTCTCAATTTGCCATATTCTCAGAAAAGGAAGCCCTTGCTCTGTATGCAAAATTGTTCTAGCAACTATAAACCATTCCCTGTACAATTGCTATGGCTCTGCATGCAAACTGTGTAATTGCACATGCAAACGATTAGTTAATTGACTGACTGACTACCCTTATTTGCACATGTAGCCATGGTAACTACACCTGCAGCCTAGCGTGCATTGTTGCGTATGGTCCTGAGCCTCCTTTACTGAAAATATGACCATAAACTAGAATGATGGTAGTTTCTTCTGGCTCTGCATCCTTTAAAAATAATCCAGTAAACCCGTGAGTTTCTAGAGCAAACTAAAGGTTTGCATTTCCTCAATCACATTTGTCTTAGGAGGTATAGTAAGTAGAGATGTCAGGTCCCTGATGATGAATGAACTTCAGCCTGTTTAAATGGACAGCAGTATTTTAGGTATCAGAAAAATAGTCTCACCCTTGGGTATCGTTTAATACACTGCTGTTTCCTTGCAGCCATTGAACAAGAATTACTCCTTATGCAGCATGTGCGGATACATTGTAAAGCATCATACTTCAGAAAACATGAGTTGGACCGAATCTGTCAACCCTGGCACTACCTATACATTTCCATGGACTGAGCATGAACACACCATTACAGTTCTAGCTGTGAACTCAATCGGCCCTTCCTCAATGAATTTTAATTTAACTCTGTCACAGCAAATGAGCGCAGGTAAGAATAATGGGTTAGTCATCATACTGGTGCATTCAGGAGATTAGAAATGCCTACTCTGCCTTTTGACAGTTTTAACAAAGTAAGCTTTATTGAATGAGAATGGGTGATGACATTCTGTGCCCTTATAGGGATGAAAAGTCTGAAACTCCACATTTTTAACAGAACAGAAATTCCTCAATATTTTGTTTCAGCAGCACCAAAACATTCACACTAGAGGGACATTTTGGTGGCTCCAAAATGAAATATGCACCCCAGGATCCTTGGCCACTCCCCCTGCAGACTGCTTAGCTTCCCAGGCAGCTGAAGAACTGGGTAGCTCAGGGATCTAGCCATCCAGAGCGGGCATCCTACTGTGGGTGACCTAGGTGGGCTGCAGGGGAACTGAAGATCCCAGGAAACTGAGGACTTGGCATGATCCAGCTTTCTGAGATTCCTCTCCATGGGCACATCTACACTGCAGGGCAAAGGTCGAATTAAGCCATGAAACTTCAGCTACATCAACTGTGCAACTGAAGTCAAAATAGCTTAACTAGGCTTTTAGCACTGTCTACACAGCAGGAGATCTAAGGAAGAACACTCTTCCTTCAACTTCCCTTACTCCTCGTGAAATGAGGGTTACAGGAGTTTGAATAAGAAGTCGTTGAGCTCGACATAATTTCAAAATAATGGCTTGCTGTGTAGCTGTGCATTTTGTTATTTTGAAATAACGTCAGTTATTCTGAAATAACACTGCTGCATAGACGCGCCCGGTAGACGCAGTGGGAGAATCAGGGAGTCAGGTGGGCTGGGCATGAATATACCCCAGAAAGGCTGCAGTTAGCAGCATAAGCACAGGTGGAGCTTAGCCACCTGGGTTTTGATCCTCTTTTCCTAAAGGAGCATAATGACACATGGGAATTAGGTTTATACTCTATATTGCGAACTACATGTTGATGGGTTTTAGCTATTACCATATGTCTCAACCTGGGGGTGAAAGCTGTGAAAGATTTAGGTAAGAACCAGAAATATTGTTCAAAACAGGAGTATTGCCTTAAAGAGAGATTAATATAGGAAATGTGCTAAGAACACAGTCCACAGATGTGATCCATTTAATACCTAGGCAATACACTATAAAATATGATTGCAAAAGATACATCATTCATGTAGTTAAAGAGGGTGTTTTTTTAAATATTGCACTTGTGTCTGATGGTTATATGTGTGAGAAACCATCAGAAACAAAAACTCCATGTACTCAGGGCTTGTCTAGCCAATGAGCTAATGTGTTCTACGAGGGGCTGATTTCTCAAGTGCACTAGCGATTGACATCAATTGCTCCATGTAGAAGCTTGCTGGTGTGCTTTAATGTAGTGCTGTTTCAAACAATATTACATTAAAACGCACTTAAGTGTGAGTTGGCAGAATTTGCATGGATCAATTAATGTGCAACATGTGTGATTTTAGAAATCACACCTGTGTAGAACATATTAACCCAATATGAAGACAAGTCCTATGTTGGCATAAAATGACGTTATTTTCATTGACTTAAGTAGAGATGTAAAAATAAACAACAATAGACCTAAACCATTATAGTCTTTCTCATCTCTATGTGGGACCTTAGCTGCAGCATGTAAAACACTGATTTGATATAACTGATTTCATTTTAATCATGATTTTTCCTGTTTTATCAGTGCATATTGTGCAGACACTCAGCGCTTATCCAGTAAACAGCAGTTGTGTAATTCTGACCTGGACACTTTCACCTTCAATGTATGTAATAACATCTTTTGTTATTGAATGGAAAAACCTCAATGAGGAAGAACAAATGAAATGGATTCGAGTTGCTCCAGATATTAGCAAATACTATATTTATGGTGAGTTTGTACTTGAAAATAAACACACATGATATTTTACCGGTGTTACAGTGTATTGAAAGGTAGCTCTTTCTGGGTACAGTAATATGGCCTCTGTAATATTCTCTTATTTTTTTTAATAATATTGTATTGGATCTAACTTGTCAGTTGAAGATCAACTATGGAGTTAATGACTTGGACTGATACAGGATTGCTGACTGGCTCTTGTTGCTGTTTAAGAATCCAGGCCTTGGTCCTCACCTTGTGTCACATGGGCATTGGTCTGTAAGCACATGCGCACCTTAGTCACTGCATACAAAAGGACAATAGGTTAGTTGGCTCAGATATGCACAAACCTCCACATAGTTTATTTACTGTGGGCCTGGCCCTCCTTTCATTTGCACCTGCTTTATGCTGAAATAATGGCATTGATCTTAGTGGAGTTGTGCCTAATTTACATCCATTTAAGGATCATCATCATTATTATAATGGACTTGGGAAACAGTATGTTTCGTCTTTGTTATGTTCTGCACATGTGTATTTGCTTAGTGTGGAAGTGATAAAGAGGGAAGCTCAGTTGTATATTATGGTAACACCAATATGTGCTGAATATATGTTTAAATATAAATATTTCCATGTGTGTACATATTATTGAGGTTTTACGTATGTGCTTTGTGGCTTTAAGATTTATAATCTTTTCATCAAAAGTTAATAATTCCATTGGGGAAAAATAGCTAATGTATCCAACATAGATTTTTAGGTGTACATTTAAACCCAAGATTCAAGGGATTAAATGAATAACTCTTGTTTTTCCTGTGGGCTTGCCTTGAGCCACTGATGCATGAGATCAAAGCCTCTCTAAAAGCTAAAAAGTATTTAATGGTCTTACTAACTTCGAATGTAAACTCCAAAGTTTGATTTCTTCTTTCTAGATCATTTTATTCTTATTGAAAAGTACCAGTTTAGCCTGTACCCAATATTTCCTGAAGGAGTAGGCAACCCCAAAATAGCTGATGGATTCATCAAAGGTAACCAATATGATCTGAATTATTATTTTTTTTATTAAGCAGCAGCTGGTTAGTAAAAGTTCCCTTTGGCTATTATATGGACTCTTGTTCATGTTTTTTATGAGAAACATCAAACACTGTTGAAAACACAATGATTGAAGTATAATTGACCCCAGTCTGGATCTTCAGTCAGTATAAATTGGCATAACTTGGTTGAAGTTAGTAGAGTGCCTACACCAACTTCTCCTGACATTGTTTCTGCAGTTAATTTAATATCATAGAATCATAGAATCATAGAACTGGAAGAGACCTCAGAAGGTCATCAAGTCCAGCCCCCTGCTCTAGGCAGGACCAATTCCAACTAAATCAACCCGGCCAGGGCTTTGTCAAGCCGAGACTTAAACACCTCTAGGGATGGAAACTCCACTACTTCCCTAGGTAACCCATTCCAGTGCTTCACCACCCTCCTAGTGAAATAGTTTTTCCTAATATCCAACCTGGACCTCTCCCACCACAACTTGAGACCATTGCTCCTTGTTCTGCCATCTGTCACTACTGAGAACAGCCTCTCTCCATCCTCTTTGGAACCTCCCTTCAGGAAGTTGAAGGCTGCTATCAAGTCCCCCCTCACTCTTCGCTTCTGCAGACTAAACAGACCCAAGTCCCTCAGCCTCTCCTCGTAGGTCATATGCTCCAGACCCCTAATCATTTTGGTTGCCCTCCGCTGGACCCTCTCCAATGCGTCCGCATCCTTTTTGTAGTGGGGGGCCCAGAACTGGACACAGTACTCCAGATGTGGCCTCACCAAAGCCGAATAAAGGGGAATAATGACATCTCTGGATCTGCTGGCAATGCTCCTCTTAATGCATCCTAATATGCCATTAGCCTTCTTGGCTACAAGGGCACACTGTTGACTCATATCTAGCTTCTCATCCACTGTAACCCCCAGGTCCTTTTCTGCAGAACTACTACTTAACTGGTTGGTCCCCAGCCTGTAACTATGCTTGGGATTCTTCCGTCCCAAGTGCAGGACTCTACACTTGTCTTTGTTGAATCTCATGAGATTTCTAGTGGCCCAATCCTCCAATTTGTCTAAGTCACTCTGGACCCTATCTCTGCCCTTAAGCGTATCTACCTCTCCCCCTAGCTTAGTGTCATCTGCAAACTTGCTGAGGGTGCAATCTATCCCCTCATCCAGGTCATTAATAAAGATATTGAACAAAACCGGTCCTAGAACCGAACCTTGGGGCACTCCACTAGAAACCGACCTCCATCCTGACATCGAACCGTTGATCACTACCCGCTGGGCCCGGCCTTCTAGCCATCTTTCTATCCATCTTACCGTCCATTTATCCAATCCGCATTCCCTTAACTTGCTGGCAAGAATATTGTGGGAGACCGTATCAAAAGCCTTGCTAAAGTCAAGGTATATAACATCCACTGACTTTCCCATGTCCACTGAGCCAGTTACCTCATCATAGAAGCTAATCAGATTGGTCAAGCACGACTTGCCCTTTGTGAATCCATGCTGACTATTCCTGATCACTTTCCTCTCATTCAAGTGTCTCAAAATGGATTCCTTTAGGATCCCTTCCATGATTTTTCCAGGAACCGAGGTAAGACTGACCGGCCTATAGTTCCCTGGATCGTCCTTCTTCCCTTTTTTGAAGATGGGCACTACATTTGCCTTTTTCCAATCATCCGGGATTTCGCCCGATCTCCACGACTTTTCAAAGATAATGGCCAAAGGCTCCTCAATGACATTTGCCAACTCCTTCAGTACCCTTGGGTGCATTAAGTCTGGACCCATGGATTTGTGTACGTTTAGTTTTTCTAAATAGTTCCTAACCTGTTCTTTACCCACCAAGGGCTGTCCATCTTCTTCCCATCTTGCGTCGCTTAGCACAGAAGTCCAGGAGCCGACCTTGTCCGTGAATACAGAGGCAAAGAAAGCATTGAGTACTTCAGCTTTCCCCACATCCTCTGTCACTAGGTTACCTCCTTCATCCATTAGGGACTGCACACCCTCTCTGATCACCTTCTTCTTGTTGACATGCCTGTAGAAACCTTTCTTGTTATCCTTCACATCCTTAGCCAGTCGCAACTCCATTTGCGCTTTCGCCTTCCTGATAACCCCCCGGCATTCTCGAACTATACATTTAAGCTCCTCCCTAGTCATTTGTCCAAGTTTCCACTTTCTGTAAGCTTCCTTTTTGTGCTTAAGTACACCAAGGATTTCCCCTGTAAGCCAATCCGGTCTCCTACCAGGTTTGCCTCTCTTGCTACGTGTCGGGATGGTTTCTTTTTGTGCCTTCAATAAGGCTTCTTTAAAATACTGCCAGCTGTCCTGGACTCCTTTCCCCTTCATGTTAACATCCCAGGGGATTCTGCCCATCAGATCTCTGAGGGAGTCAAAATCTGCTTTTTTGAAGTCCAAGGTGTGTATTTTACTACTCTCTTTTCTTCCTTTGGTCAGGATCCTGAAATCTACCATCTCATGATCACTGCTTCCCAGGTTGTCATCCACCTCCACTTCCCCTATTAGTTCCTCCCTGTTTGTGAGCAGAAGGTCAAGCTGCGCATGGCCCCTGGTCGGATCCTTCAGCACCTGTGTCAAGAAGTTATCCCCAACATTCTCCAAAAACTTCCCGGATTGCCTGTGTACTGCCGTATAGGTTTCCCAGCAGATGTCAGGGTGATTAAAGTCCCCCACGAGAACCAGGGCCTGCGATCTGGAAGCTTCGCTCAGTTTTCCGAAGAAAGCCTCATCTACCTCATCCACCTGATTCGGTGGCCTGTAGCAAACACCAACCACAACATCAATGCTGTTGTTTGCTCCTATAAACTTAACCCATAGACTCTCAACAGGTTTTTCTCCCTCTTTATACTGGAGTTCAGAGCAATCGTAGTGCTCTCTTACATATAGTGCATTTCAATATTTGGCCCACGTTTTCAAACAGGTCAGTGTTCTGCATAGGAGGATCATATGTTGGGACAATCCCAAGGAATTTCAGAGGTCCTATATTCTCATGTTTCTTCAGCCTCTGTGTATGGGCTACTACCATTGCTTTAGTGTTGATCCTGAGTAACTGGGAAACAATGGAAAATCCCACAGGGATGTAGAAGCCACTGAATTTTTAGAGTAATGTTACTTCCAGTGTATTTATACATAAGTCAGGGGTCCCTAGTGTGACCCAGTACAATTTACTTAAGGTTGATATAATAAACATATATAAACTACTAATGTACAGTTGAATAATTTGTTTCTGATTTGTAAGCATATGGATGATTATGTAAACTGTTCTTTGTATGCATTTTTTAATTGCAATAATGATAGGACTGATGATGAGAAATATTGCAAATAGTTTGAAATAGATTCCTTTCATTTTTAGGTAGGAATGAAAACCAGAATGATGCCAGCCTCTATGTGACTTTGCCAATAGTTATTTCATCCTTCATTTTCTTGCTTGGAACTTTGCTGATCTCACACCAAAGGCATGTTTTTTTTATTTTCATATATGATGTGCTTATAAGAAGATAATACAACTTAAAAAGCATGTGCCTATAGAAATATTCATACCTAGTTAACATTTGGTGCCATTTATATATTTTAGCTGTACATTATCTGAAAGGCAGCACAGTCAAGTGCAGTATATCTCAAATATATTTGATCATTCTGCCCCCTTCATGTCTGTAATAGTTTATATCCCAACACACCAAGCAAGAACATATACCAATAAAAATAACCCACTAGCACCTTTCACTAAATATTAAAAAGAAGGCATTTATTCAGACAGAGCCATGTAAGTGTATGGTAATGTAAATTTTAAATGAGATACAGCATCATGTTGTTTTTGTTAATGTGATTGGTGTGCCTGTTGTTTGCAGAGCAATTCTATGATTTGCACAAATGAGCCAATAATCCATTGTAATAAGAGCAAAAACAAAACTGCTGTTGTAGTTGATGCTTACAATTAAATGTGCACACTGCCTCATAGCAAATGTAACAGAAATGTGTCAAAATTCACAGTGCTATTAGAGTAAAATGCACAGCCCCATTTGCAGACCGACATGGCTGGAGGAATCAACTTTGCTAGTTATTCATTACTGTGGGTAAAATATGAGCAGTAAACTTTTTTTTTCCTCCTAAGTTTCTCACCCCCCCACCTCCAGAATACAACCCCAAATTTGAGAATCTCCATTCTAATGGATTGAATGTTGCACTGGGAACTAGGAATCTCTGAATGCCCATGTTCAGTACCTCTGAAAATCAGGCCATTATCCTGTCTCTGCTTATGTCCTTGAGCTACCATGATAGTGAGCAGTTTATATTTCTGTCTGGGGCATTCCCATATAAAATGTGTCTATTCAGTACTAAATCAATACTACTAAATATTTCAGAATGAAGAAATTGTTCTGGGAGGATGTTCCAAATCCAAAGAACTGCTCCTGGGCACAAGGAGTTAATTTCCAAAAGGTATGGGTTTCCATAATGATACCTTTTATTTTTCTGTGGGATGATGTGTTTCACATGCTGACATTAAGTTTCAAGTGTTTAATTATTTGGATAATTCTTAATAGTTTAACACAAGTCCTTTGAAACATAAGAACGGCCATACTGGGTCAGACCAATGGTCCATCTAGCCCAGTATCCTGTCTGCTGACAGTGACCAATACCAGATGCCCCAGAGGGAGGGAATACGACACATAATTCTCACGTGATCCCTCCCCTGTCACCCATTTCCAAACAATTAGAGGCTAGGGACACCATTCCTACCCATCCTGGCTAATAGCCATTGATGGAACTAAACTTCATGAATCTATCCAGCTTTTTTTTTAACCCTGTCAAAATCCTAGCCTTCACCAAATTCTCTGGCAAGGAGTTCCAGAGGTTGACTGTGCATAGCTACATGCAGGACTTTTCTTCAGCTGTAGAAAGCTGACAGTTGGATGTGGGCTGGAACCTCCAATCAAGACCTGTTTTGAAATTCATGGGCAATCTTAGGGTATGTTTGTGTTGCATTGTCAACCTGGGTCTGTGAACCCAGTGTTTCCAATCATGCACTTGAGCATCCACTCTACATTGTAAACTTGAGCTTAGAGTTGCTGAACCTGGGTCTCACAGCAAAGTTAATGCATTCACACTGCATTTAGGCAGACTTCCTGACTCTAATCTGAAGCAGGAGCTGCATCCACACTGCAAAATATAGGGCAGGATTTGGGCTCTGATCCACTCATCCAGCAGGAACCCAGGTCCTATATGTTTGCAACCTGAGTCAGACTGATTTTTGTGTGGATGGAAGGGGGACTGGGACTCAGCATCCAGGCTTAATGTGCAGTAGACATACTTATAGAGCTAAATCCTGCCACCAGATGATACTTAGTTATATGACAGCCATTGAAATGGAGGCAGGAAGGGCATATGACCACGCCCATGGACAAATTCTTTGCTGGTGCAAGCCAACTCAGTCACAGTTAAGCTGTGCTGATGTACAGCCTTAACTGGACTTGCATTGGTTCAAACCAGCTAAGAATTTGTGTCTTAGTTCTAGAATTTTATACTGTAACTGTATAATCATTGAGACAGTAACTTAAACATTCAGGATTATTATTTCAAAAAGAAAATGCATCTAATGGACCACAACTATTTGACTTTTTTTCCAGATGTTTAATTTTCATTCCCAGTGAAGTTTTCTTTTCTCATCTTTTATTTTATTTCATTTAAACAGAGAATGGACATTTTCTGACCATTGTGCCAGCTCCCAGACTTCATATACAGAATTGTTAGAAGATTTTTCTGTTTACATTCAGAAGACAGGAAACACAGATACAATATATACTGATTGATTTTAAAGATAGCCCTGGAAATAGTTTTGTTCAAAACTTAAGATGCCCTTGAAAAATCAGGGACAGTTGCCATATTGCAGCCTAGAGCAGGATTTACTACACACGTAGGCAAAAAACTTGCTTTAAATCACATTTTGAACCTTTATTTAGTGACCTGATTAGTAAGGCTCTGACTCACAAAGGGCTGAATGCTTTCACCTCCTAGACTTCACTAAGAGCTGAGAGTGCCCAGCAATGTTCCCAGCAATCTTTTCCATCCATGTGCAGAATAAATGTTTGTGCCCCAATACATGTTCCAATGTGCATGCCAGTAAAAACAAAAAACCTAGCTGTGAGCACTTTGCTAATTGAATCACTCTCGAGCTGCTACACAAGCACACAAGTTCTGGGCACCAGTGTTCCCTGTAAGCTATGAGGATGGAGCAATATAAGCAGAAGTATCAGAATGGTCTGAAATTCAGCTAGTTAACTGAAAGACTTTCCCAATTCGCCACTTACATTTTTTTAAACAGAGTTATTGTTTGTTTAATCCAAGAACTACAGTAGTCTGATTCTGATGCTGAACAGCTGTGGGAGTTTCCACTGACTTCAAGCATGTTGAGGAGGCCAACCCCTGCCTTTGGATGTGCGTAGTGCTCCCATTAAGGTCAATGGGAGCTAATCAGATGCATCTGAGTGCAAAATTTAGTCCAAAGAATTTGCAGAAATAATTCCAAGTGTTCATTCATAGTTTTCTCTAAAAAGGACCATTGTACATATTATGTTGTGTAGACAGGTACTTCATTCATTATCATTTAAACATCTAGCAACTCCCATAGCCACTTGACTAATAGTGTCTGACATTAGTTCTCTCTCTTTCTCTGTCTATATATTAATCTATTGGTATTCTTAGAATGGCAACTTCTGCTTAGTGTAATCTCCATTTAACATGGTTTCCTTTTTGTAGCTAACCTTTTACTACAGTAACTTTTTTTTCTTTTTGTTTAAAGCGCTGCTGTATTGTTAGAAAGCAAAGACTATCATTTAATATTAAACAAAGTTTATTGAAATACATAATACAGGGACTGGTCCAAAGCTCCCTGAAATCAGTGAAATGCTTTCTGTGACATCCGTGGAGCAGTGGACTAGCACTGCAGTACTGCTATAATGACAGTGATGGAAAACATGCTTTAAAATTCTGAAAAGTATCAAATGTGGCTAAAGTGCATTGACCAAAGATTTGCATATTGTTGAGGAAGTGTGTGAGTTGCACAGAGACTTATTTTTTTGTTTACTTAATTCACTTAGCTAGACATAGAAAAGGAAACTTGCTACACTGCTCCCAATAATTTGCATGTTGGATCAGGGACTATGGGCCCTATTTCTCCTCTCATGCTGGTGTAAATTGGGAATAAGTCCATTGAAATGGGTGAAGTTAGACTAATCTACAAACTGGCAAAGAGAGGAAAGCATTTATACTCTCATGACATTACTCCATATTCGTATGTCCTGTGGAGTTCCTAGCTAAGGAGAAAGAACGTAATGCACATAAATATAAAGTGTAATGTGCTGAATTGGAAATTGAAAGATCATGTGACCTTTGACAGCTTGTTCTACTGCAGTTCAGTCTATATGTTTAATGCCTGCTTCCTTTTTACATTTTATTGTTTATGTCTACAATACAATAAAAGACTCTTGGCATGGCTGCAGCTGGCCTGTGTGAGCTTATTTGAATTCACAGAGCTGTGGAGTTAAAAATTGCAGTGTTGGTATTTGAGCAAAGGCTGGAGCCAGGAGTCTGAAGCTTCACAAGGCAGGGATAATCTCAGAGCCCAGCATCCAGCCTGAATCTGACTGTCTACACTGCAGCTTTTAGCCCTGAGACTCGTTATTTTTATTGCAATGTAGACATACCAGTGCTGTCCTCTGATGAGCACTGTAGTGCATGTCTAATTCCATGTGCATCCTAGGCCAAGGGAAATAGGAGGAATTTATGTGGTTAGGGCCCTCATTTATGTGAATGCAATTTTCAGTAGGAAAAACAAAGTGCAGAACTTGTACTGTAACTCTCATTAGCTTTGATAGTCATTGATTGGATTAAAGCTTCCACATATCAGCACTAGAAAGTACTAATGTTCTTATGTCTGAAGCCATGTGTAAATCTTATTTTCCTTTGATTCATCTGTCAGAAGTGCACTAGATTCAATATGTGGTTACTAATACATGTATTAAATATGGCATGTTCTGTGATTGCTCTTTTGGGTCATAATCTCATTCTGCAGACCTTACTTATCCAAACCTCCAAATGATTTCCAAGGAAGATATGACTGAGTAATGACTATGGCACCATCCCGGAAAAGATTTATGAACATGTTTAACTTTACATAGTGTGAATAATCCCATTGACCTCAACGGGATTATTCACAGTGTATAAAATTAAGCAGTTACCTAAACACTGCAGGATTGTGAGCGGAACACATTTTATAGACTGTCTGTGTCTGGCAAACGAGGGTGAATGAAATTTTACTCGAAGCCACCCGAGGCGTTTGTAGAATTATGCTAACTGCTATAAAATATTTTAGCACAAATCATATGACACACACATTGAGAACATATTTTATAGTGATATTTACCCATATGACTCTGTCATTATTTACATAATATTACAGTATTACATCTTTTCCAGGAGATTGTATACTCATTGTATTTGTATATTCATCAAATATATTTTACTTAGTGATGTGTTTGATTCAAGAGAAAGTGAGCTTTAATAATTGAAATATCTATTTTAAAAAGTGGTATTTGATTATTTGATAACAAGTCATAGTCAGTATTCTTAATGTGATTCTGTAGAACTCATATCCAGAGTTAGGCTTCAAGGCATAAGGCAATCTCTAGTTATTGGTGTTCAGGGAGATACATGCCTGCCCACAGATCGACAACTGCCTACTATGGGGTTTCCACTTATACAGGCCACTGTTGGTGAGAGAATACTGGACTAAATGAACAATTGGTCTGATCCATTATAATATTTCCTATGTTCCTATCTGAATTAATAGTTGATCTGCCATAGGGAAGGATAAATTTCAGCAAGGAACATCCAATATGAATTGAAGACATTGCTTGGTGTATGCATTGTAGCAACTGCCTGCAGTTCTTTTCAGTAATCAGTTTGATAATTTTAAATGTCATATTCACAGTGTTTTTGAAGTCCATGAGAATTCTGAGATGCAAGCAATGTAGTAGTTATCCTAAGTTTGCATTTAGGCTCCAATTCAGCAAGGTACTGAATCAAGTGTCAATATTTTAATCTGTAAGTAGTTTACATACATACTTAAATACCTTGCCAATCAGGGTCTTAAATGTTATGGTGATGGCTATTCTAAGTTAAACAAATGCCCAATAGCTTAAGATAGATAAAATAGTACAATATCTTCTTATAATGTACAGCAGTCTAAGCATTTTGACATATTCCTCTTTACTTTGGATGGTTTCCTGCTGTGATTTTAATATCTGGACGGCTTATTAACATAAACACAATCTGTTGTTTTTAACTCATTGTTTTTTTATTTGTCTCCATTAAATTCATCAGTGGGTATACACTTTAGAGTGAACTTTTCTTGGTAGTAAATAGGAGAGCCAGTTTCCTATTATACATAACATTTCAAATATACCATAGTATGAATTGATATTTCACATCCTTGTTTGATGCAGAGATGATGCATTTCCATGTAGTATGTGTGTGTACGTATGCATGTGTGTGTATAAAGAGTCTAAAAAAATTATTGGGTGGCAGGATTTGACTCTGGCATGTGCTTGCTTTCTGTAGCCCCAATTCCCCATTGCCACATACCAGACTTAGTTTTCATTTTTCAGATATGTACTTTTTATACGAAAATATAAATACCATACTAGTTTTCATTTGTGGCTTTAAAGTACAGTAACTTCATAATGAAATAAAGCTATTAAATGATAGTTGAGCATTAAAATATGTCTTTTCTTCTAGCCTGAAACTTTTGAGCATCTTTTTATCAAGCATCCTGAAGCAATATCATTTGGGCCTTTTCTGGAACCAGAAATAGTTTTGGAAGACATCAATGTTGCTAACGCATTGAAAAGTGAAGACAAGAAAGATTTATTAACAGTTGATTCAATGTTCACAAAGACTCAAGACGCTGAGCATGACTCGGCTTGTTCTAGCAGCCATTTCAGTAATAGCCTTTCTGAAAGTTCCCATGTTGACAGAGTCAGTGAAGGAATTACAAGACAGTCCAATATTAAGTATGCTACAATTATTAGTCACTGCAAATCAAGTGGGCTTTATGAACAGCAAAAGAATCTAAGTGGTTCATTTAATGGATGCTTCCTAGGTAAAGATTCCTTAGTTACAGATCCTTTCTCTAGATCTTGGGAGGTGGAGAATTGTGCATTTCTAATATTACCTGAGCAACAGCTGAGCCAACCCAGCAAAACTATATCTCTTTCCGTTGTTTCTTCTGAGGGTTTTTCAGAACCTTCAGACCATGATGAGACCTTCAGTGATGGAGACAGTCCTGAAAGAAGCCTGTATTACTTAGGGCTAACATCAGTTAAGAAAAATGAAAATGATATTTTTTTAACAGAAGATTCTAGAGTGATGTGTCATCTTCACACAAATGATTTATTCAAAGACATGGGGTTTCTTCAGGATACTTCTTCTGATTTAAATCCCTTTATCAAAAATAGTCTTACATATGAAAGCTCAGTTAAAACCTTCATACCGTACATGCCACAATTTCAGGCAACTAGAATTAAACTGCAAGAGACAGCGGAGACCAAACTTAAGCTATAAAAACATAGTCCATATTTCTATCTGATTGCTGCTGTTAATATTTTTCTGAAGGGTCAGTATCTCCCACTCCCTGTCCCTGCATCTCTCCCTCAGGAAACTCTTAATGTACTGGACTTGCAGTGTCCACATTTTGAAGTTGGATGCCTGTGCCTACATTTGAGTGATATATAAATCAGCACTTTGGACCCACAGAATTCCACATATTATTGGCCTGATTAAAACCTCAGATCGGGGCTTTCATTTCACTGTTTCAAGTTAACATCTGGTATGTAATTGGCTATTTGTGGTGCCTACTCTACATGCTTCTTCAATCGTGTCTCGTTGTGGACACTCACATAAGAAAACTGGTTTTGAAAGCTCCTTAGACAAGGATTCCAAAGGAGGCATTTCATTTAAATGTACCTTTTGTTAGGTCAGATCCTAGTGGAAAGCCAGTCTTGGAGCCAAGCCATTGGCAACTTTATAGCTGTCCTGGACATGGCTACCAAACCTCTCCACTCCTGGGAGAGGGGAGCCCATTGTAAGTGGGGAATGGGCAGTTCCCCAACACCAAAGACCAGCAGACAACAGTCCCAGCATATGGTTCCAAAGGGCCCATCTGGCAATAGAACCACAACTCTCAGTAGAAGTAAGGATGAAGGCAGAGACCAAACATGTTTAAAAAAGCTCGGAGATGGCAGCATTCTCCCTTCACCAACTTCTACGTGCTGCAGCAGCAAAGGGTTCAGAATTATTGCTGTGCCGACGCTGGAGTACCCCATGCTTCCCCAGCTGGAGGGGAAAGTTGATAGTGAGCTGCCTTGTAGGGCAGCGTTTCTTAAAGTGTGTTCCTTAGCACACCGGTGTGCCGCGAGGCAGTCGGAGGGGTGCCGCAGAGAGAACAGAAAAAATTCTGCTCCCCGCCCCGTGCAGAGCCTGTAGACAGCTCCCGCTGCAGCTGCCTCCCCTTCCCCCCTGTGCTGCTGCTGCTGCTGGGAGGAGGAGGGGTGGCCGGAGCTGAGGAGCCACTCCCAGACCTCGGCGTTTTAAAACTGCCACCTGTGGGGAACCCGGTTCAGGCTCTGCCCCCCACCCCACCTGGGGCACACTCAAACTTTGCTGCTCCTCCCCTCGGGGTGCGCTTGGGCTCTGCTGCCCCGTCCCATGCGCTGCTGCTCTCTCTCCCCTGTGCCCCTCCCCAGCCTGCTGGGGAAGTGACAGTTTAATCTGGCTGGGACGGTCAGTTTCTACCCCCCCCCCCCCCCCGCCAGCAGGAAGCCTGGCCTGGTGCTGCAGTTGCACTGGGTTCCCCGCTTCATGGGGGTGGGGAAGGGGAACTGAGCTCTCTACCTCACTCCCCCCCGAAGAACAAGAACATGCTCCCTGGAGGCTTTCTCTGCTGCAGCAGGGTGCCAAGCCAGGTAAGCGTCCACCCCTCACGCCCAGACCCTGCACCCAACCCCCCCTCACTCCCCTCCCTCTGCCAAGACCCCACATTCCCAGCTTGCTCTAACATCCTGCCTCAAGTCCCCTCCTGCATCCTCCCTCCTGGCCAGACACCCTGCCCCGATACCTGCTCCTCACCAGACATTCTTCCCCAACACACCTCGTCTACCCTCCCTCTTGGCTAGACACATGACCTTATTTAGCATTTGTTTATTATTATCCTTACTTTTTGTGGTCTACGTTTTCAGCTCCATGTACCAGACTGTTATTAGGGCAGTCTTTCTGGGGAAGTTGCGCATTTTGACTCCCAGGTTTTTTTTTTTTTTTTTTTTTGGCTCCTCAGAAAAATCTTTGTTGTACCCCATTAAAAGAAATTATTGTTTGGTGTTCCTCGATCTTAAAAAGTTTAAGAAACATTGCCGTAGGGAGTATGACCCGCCTGAGCCCTCCCGCTTGCATGATCAGCTCTGTAGCTCTGAAATGCAAAGGTGAAAAAAGTCCTCTTGGGAGCATTTCCGCATAACAATGGGCTGCCCAAAGGAGAAGCCACTTGTTCAGCTAACTGGTTTGGTAACAGGGAGCCAGGTTTTTGTGGTGGGGGGAACACACACATGTATGAGCACTGTCTTGGCTGGAGGGGTCTGGCTGGCCAGTGCCAAATATGTCTTCGGCACCTCCACAGACCCTCAGAGCAGCCAGGACAATTAAAAGCAGGGTGGTGGTGGGGAGAGTTTGTCACCTCAATCAAACAAAAGGCAGAGGAGCTGCTGTACAGTGCCTCCCCTCCCCCGATAGTTAGCAGCTCGTTAAATTGCCCTGCTTACTCACTGTGTGTATGCACACTTGTATGTACGTGTAGAGAGTATATTCATCTCAGACTAGTGTGGTAAGACCTCCCTTTCCAATTTAAATACCTTTATTCAGGGCCGCCAATGGGAGGGGGGATAAAAGAGGGCAATTGCCACTGGGCCTAGCAATTTAAGAGGCTCTGGGCCGCTGCTACTGTAGCAGCAGCTGGAGCCTGGACCCTTTAAATTGCCTCTGGAGCCCTGCACAGCATGGTCTGGGCAGCACTGAGGGCTGGCTGCCTCCAGTCCTGCCCCTTCTGCCCAATGTCATGCCCCCTGTGGATGGGGTGGGAGAGGGGGGTCAGAGCTGAGCTGAACTCCCCCCGCCCTCCCCACACACACATATAACCCAGGACCCAGTAGAGTCTGTCTCCAGCCCTGCTTTTATGTATAATACAACGCTTCTGTAGAACCAGTGCACCCCTTCACCACGCTTATTTATGTTGGGTGGTGTTATACACAAGCCCCTACATACTTATTCTGGATAATAGTGAGTATATACTGTTTAGATGGGATCTGCATAACACTGAACATGTAAAAAAGAAGCCAGAGCTATATCAGTCATTGTTTTTAAAAAAGTTAAGGGAATTTATTTCTAAGTACATTTTTGAAAGTGAGACATTTATCAGTATAGGTAAAGGTTCAGGCCTCGCTTCCATCATCCTATCCCTTCTACATAAAAATAAAAGCACCTACCACAAGAAGCAGATAGTTACAAGGAAACTGTATCTGTTAATCAAGTGAAAGTGTGTTAAGTAGTTCACTAGTGTATAAAGCATCGCCAACTGTAAGAGAATGCATCAGTGGCTAGCTGGCCCGTGCATGGGATGGCGGGGGAGGGACATTACCCCCATGGCCCAGTGATTCAAAGGGACCGGGGGCTTCTGGCTGTTGCAATGGCAGCAGCTCGAGCCCCAGGCTTTTTAAATTGCTATTGCAGTGACACACTGCACTCTCCATGTGGGTCTGAGGGCTGCGGGGGGAGGAGAGCACACTATGCTCCAGACAGTACGGAAGGCTGGCTGCCCCTCCTAGCTTTCCGAGGTGCCCGTGGAAGCTGTCAGCATCCCTTTTGGCTAGAGATACACATTTAATGCAGTAAGGGAACAGGAGTCAGATTTCTTGTAGAAGTCTTTATAGCCTCACCATTTGTGTATTTTTGCCTAAGCAAAATAATGCACATGGAAATCAAATGGACACACTTTTTGGACGTCCCTTTTGGAAAATGAGGCTGTAATAGTGAAGGTACCACAATATAGCATTGAATTTCAGTCCTTTTCATGAGACCCTATTATAGAAAAGCAATGTTAAGAAGCTAGTGTGGTCAAATGGCAAACTAGTAAAGATTGGGAGCCAAAGTGTCCTTTCTATAGATTTAATTCTACTGGGATTAAGAGTCTCTATGTGAGCTCAAACTAGTCATGTCACCTCACCTCTTTATATCTTGAACCCAGCTGAAAAAGGGTAAGAAGTAGGGACTCTCAGAAAACAGGGCATTAAGTCTACACTGAATTTTCTATGCTAAATTACAAAACAAAAATCCAAACTTATTCTTAAACCAAATATGTATTTTCTACTTATAATGACTAATTATTTTTATACTGAGAATTTTTCAGATAGTAATTAATTACTAAGCAGTATTCAAATATGTAAAGGTGTTAAGTTTAGGTATTATTCCAAAATTTACCCAAAAGGCAACATAAGAACAACAAAAATGTTGAGTTATGTAGCAGAACTTTATTTAACTAGGATATGCTAAAGAGTGAAAGAGCTCTGAGCGAAGTTTTTATGTTTTCAAAGGTAACTGGTGATTTTGGGTGCTTCCATTTCAAGAGGCCTGATATGACACCTGAAAAAGGTCTGATGGTCAGAGAATGGGGTGCCTTGTGCTTTCTGAAAATCTCAGGTTGAGCACCCAAAATCGCTAGTCACTTGAGAATTTAGGCAAAGTCTTGTTGCAAAGCTCGCTGAAGTCAATGGGCTTCTGTTGACCAGTGACCTTTTGGTCTGGCTCATTGATGTGCCTTAAGGATTCAGTCTTATATGTGGCGTTAGACACGGGAATTTAAAGATAACATTAGTAAAATACATGAAAAGCTCTTACTGACATCCGTGTAAATATATCAGTCTCCAGCTGCCCAGTTAGATAACACATGAGCATTTCATCACTTGAGTGACAAGTAGCCCTCGGTGTTATAATGCAGCCCTTCTGACGGCTATTCCTGCAAATCCTGCATCTTCCTGCATACCTTCTGAAGGCCCCAGGCAGTGAAACCTGTGTGGTTGTGCTATGTGGAGGGAACCCTGCATAGGTTCAACATGCATCCCAGGCTACGTCTATAATGCGGGGTTTTTGCGGAAGAGGAAATGCAAATGGAGTGCTCATTTGCATATCTCGCACTCTCATTTGCAGATCTTCTGATCCTTTTTGCGGAAGAGTTTTTTGCCATAAAAAGCCCTGTGTAGACAGGGATATTTGTCAGAAAAAAAATACCCTTTTGCGCAAGATCCCTTATTCCTCAAAAAATGAGGTTTACGGTCTCTTGCGAAAAAGGGGTATTTTTCCCGACAAAGGGCCCTGTCTACACAGGGCTTTTTATCACAAAAACCTCTTCTGCAAAAAGAATCGGAGGAAGATATGCAAATAAGAGCATGAGATATGCAAATGAGTGGTCCAGTTGTATTTCCTCTTCCACAAAAAACCCTCAGTGTAGACACAGCCCCAGAGTACAGCGGAGCCCGGCTCTGTGGGGACTTCCTATGCTCCTGTGCAGCATGAACTGGATTGGGGAGAAGCAGTTGCAGGTCTGGTAGAGGCACGAGTGTTTGCTTCCTGTTCAGCCAGCATGTAGGAAGTGTTGTGAGCTGCTGCAGGCTAGCAGTGGAGTAATTGCTACAGAGCAACTGCAAAACCATTCCACAGTGTGGGTGAAGGATCCTTTCCCATCCCAGCCCTGAAGAATCGCCTGCTGCAAGCTGTGCTGCTCTGACTTGATGCTGGAGGCAGAAGGGATTCAGTTCATTGAAACGACTGCAATACGAGAAATTTGTAAAGATGTGTGTCTCATTGAGTTTCATTTGGCTTGCAACTCTGGCTATTGTCCAAAATTTTCATAATACCAAAGCTAGCTGGTAGCGTTTCAAGTAAATGAAGAGCTACTGCATTTTTGCAAATCCTAATGGTGACCACTGCTATGAGAGGCTCTGATCCAGAAAAATGTGTAGCTTTATGCATGTGAATCATCCCATTGAACGTCAAAGAGTCTAAAGGGCTTTCCTGGAGTGGACCCTAAATCAGAAGGTATTCTCCTGGTTCTGTGAATATGCGTATCTTAGAATCAGTGAGTTGTCTACTATTGATCTTTTTTGGATCAGTATGAAATAACATGGCTAAGCGTTGCTGCAATGAACATCTCCAGTGTAGAATCATCACACCCTCCACGTGGCCCTTCTTTCTTCAGCCTCCTTAATTTCCTCCCCTGCAATGCCTCTAAACTCAGAACACTGTGCCCTTCCATTTATGTTACTTGGCTAATTTTGCCACCCAGAATGCTCAAATCAAAGTGGAGGCTTGGAAGCATTTGGGGGCCTGATTTTTCAGAAATGGTCAGAGGTTGCAGCTCCAGTTAAAGTCGGTAGGCGTTTCAAGTACTTTGTGCCTCTGAAAAATCTTGC